GCCATAGCCGCTGCTCAAACTCTATGCTACTCAGATCGCACTGTGAACAAAGGTGGCTCAGGAAGCTCCAGGGACACAGATGCTTTCTATGGGATTGCTGTTGAGCATGACATTTCTGTCGATCGAGTTCAGAGAAACCATTCACTTGTCTGATATGGACGATCCAGTCATTGCAAACGTCATCGCAATCAGTCCAACAACACCTAGAGATTTGAGACTTATTTCCATTACTCTGTACACATTGCTCAGAGCCAAGCCTCGCATGCACATTCTCGCACTTTATGTGGCACTTATATTTCCTTTTGTCAATGGTCTCTCTTTTTTGTTCTGCACAATTACCACTCTAGGCGCACCTTTAATATCAATTTATCGTTCTTTTAACTATTTTTCAAACATCGACAACAGAGCTATACATATAATGTAACGGCCTATAGATTTAACCACTTAACCCTCCGGCATTTCAATCCATGGCAGATGTCCACTTCACATAACAGTTGTTAAGGAATGATCCTGTTTCATCTATCTACAGTCTTCTCAACTCGATAAATGCCCCTGCAACCTATAAGCCACTCATTTTTGTCTTATACACAGCCGAGACTAGTTCTAGACATGGACCGATAGACTACAAAATATACGAAGAAAAAGAGGAACTCGATTGAGATAGGCACTTCACTTGGCCAAGGATAGCTTTGCTTATCGAAATTAACGATATAACGATGTAGTATCCATTTCCACCGATCTGATAGGAACTAATCATTCAAAAAAAAAAACCAGGAAACGTAAACAAGATTATGTACAGACAGCAACGCTCTATGTATAGACCACATGTGCGCCAGAACAGAAAAAACAAGAGCGACAACGTTAATAATACCCAATGCTAATTCAATTGCACGTAATTGGCTGATATAATGTTAGCGATGCACTTCTCGATCATGGATTCAACACTTACCCGGAAATTGGCCCTCCCGACCGCCGACACGCCCAGACCACCACTCATTTGTGTTGTCGGTACGTTGGACGATTTCGATAACATCACCAGCTGAGAATCCCAGATCACCGTGTGCTTGGGCCTCGTAGTCGTAAAGAGCGGTGACGGTCTCGACCGGCTTTGTGCTGAGGTGAGATGGCTTCGCCCGTGGAGGGGGCGGGGCGGGCTTGCCCTTAGCGGCCGAAGAGAAGCTGCCTGTCGGACTGGCACCAGCAGACGAGTAGGGTGGTGGAGGGTTTTCGTCGGCGGTAGAGCTAGAACGGCCTCGGCCAATAGAGCCCTTGCCCTCGCCCTTGAGGGCGCTCAGCTTCGAGCCAGAGCGGCGAACGCCTTGAGTCTTGTAGTGCACGATACTGAGGGCTTCGGCACGTTCCTTCACATCGCCTCGCTTCTGCTCAAAGGCTTCTTCGACGTCAAGCTGAAGGTTGAAGTAGCTAATGTTCATGCCTTGCATGCGGTCGTGGAGAGTGTAGAAGACGTTGAGTTGCATGTAGTAGAAAGACTGGAAGAGTGGGCGGATGAACTCGGCCTCAAGGGCAAACAGCTTGGGCAATTCGTCCTTGAGCAGATCGTTGTAGTAGTTGAACTCCTGTGTGGCGACCTCGACATCGTTTTCAGCCTTGTACAAAGCCTTTTCGTCCTTGATCGATTTGTCCTTCTTCTCTTCTAGCTTCTTCAAGGTAGCATTGCGGCGGTCAAAGTCCAGCTTCTTGTGATCACGCTTGACGGCAACCTTGCGGATCACCTTGATCACCTCGAGGAGCTGGTCGGCAGGGCTGATAATGCGGCTGTCGATCATCTCCAGCTCGGGGGCCAGGGCCTCCTGCAGCTCTTTGACGATCACTTCATATTCTTCACAGGCCTGAATGCCTTCGGCGTTTCCTTCGAATTGGTAGGAGGTGGGATCGGAGGCGCGACCGGAGATGGGTTTGTAGATCTCAGCAACTGCTTTGGAGAATTCGATCTGGTGGTTCAACATGCCTAAAAACGTGTCAGTGGAAGGTTCTTCCATACGAAATCCAGACATTACCGTTGATGGCCGCAAAGTACTTCTTTGACTCATCGTGGAGCTTCTTAGTCTCCTTTTCGAGCTCATCAAATCGGCGCTCGGCATCGGTATAGACAGCATCCTTGGTGTGTTCTCCAATGTTGAACTTGACCTTGAACTGCTGCGGCGCACGCACAATGCTCTTCTGAAAGCCTTTGAAACTCATACTGCGGAAGCCTCGGAATGGGAGAGTGAGGAAGTTGCCAAGGCGGGGTGACGGGCTTTTGGGCCAACTTTCGCTTCTATGACATAAGACATTCGCGATGTGGCTGTACCGGGAGTATAAGTTACTTGCACGCCTAATTATTGTGGCGCATTACTACACCAGGCACCAGTGTTAACTACTACGGTAGTAGTGATCGCCCCGGTGGCTGTTCCGGGGCTGAGTTCTTTCGATCTGCTTGTTTTTATTGCAGCCTTACCCGTATATACCGATCACCGTAGTTCGATTGTTATTGGCCATTTCTTTATTATGCGGGGTGACTTGGTTAAACGTAAGAATACGCAGCGTAACCTGCGGGTTGTAAACCAAAGTAGCTAGCTAAGATTCTAAAAATCACAGTCACATAGCACACGGGTCAAAGAATGACTTCAGATATCAAAATCCTTAACGATCACACCTAGGAGCACTTTTCCGCCTGAGGCACCTCGGAGAACCGGGGAAACCATCCTAATTGGGAATTCACCGAGGTGTTTAGTCATGAGGAGTTTCCCGGACATTAGTGATAACAAAAAGTCGGGGTTGCCTTCTTTCTTCATCCCACTTGGTATCGCACTTCATCCTCAAAATGACAAGTGCTGCTCCTACTGCTTGGAGACAGGCCTCGGCCTTCTCTAGGCGCCTTTCCACTTATGGCTATCGCGCTCCTCGCCTCGCCACCCAAGCCCGTTCTTATGTGTCCGGGACCAAGGTCGGCCAAGCTCAGGTCAATGTCGCAACCGCCATCAAGGAGGAACAAAAGTCATTCATGAAGCAGGCTGGTGTTCCTGCTCAGGGTGTGAACCTCCCTGGCACGACGACCTCCGGTGATGCCGCCATGAGTCCTTCCGCTGGTATTCTGAAGCAAGCCACCGTTCTGGACCAAGGTACACGACCTATCTACCTCGATATGCAAGCCACCACACCGCTAGACCCCCGAGTTCTCGACGCCATGCTTCCATACCTCACCGGAATCTACGGAAACCCGCACTCGCGCACACACGCTTACGGCTGGGAGTCGGAGAAGGGTGTTGAGGAGGCCCGTGGACATATCGCCAACCTGATTGGCGCCGATCCCAAGGAAATCATCTTCACAAGTGGTGCGACTGAGAGTAACAATATGTCTTTGAAGGGCGTGGCGCGATTCTTTGGTCGCTCAGGCAAGAAGAAGCACATTATCACCACCCAGACCGAGCACAAGTGTGTTCTCGACAGTTGCCGACACTTGCAAGATGAAGGATTCGAAGTCACCTATCTGCCGGTTCAGAGCAATGGTTTGATCCGGATGGAGGACCTCGAGGCAGCTATGCGCCCCGAGACTGCCATCGTCAGTATTATGGCCGTCAACAACGAGATTGGTGTGATCCAGCCGCTCGAGGAGATTGGCCGTCTTTGCCGGTCCAAGAAGATCTTCTTCCACTCTGATGCCGCACAGGCTGTGGGAAAGATCCCAATGGATGTCAACAAGATGAACATCGATCTGATGTCCATCTCCAGCCACAAGATCTATGGCCCCAAGGGCATCGGTGCTTGCTACGTGCGCCGTCGCCCACGTGTTCGTCTCGAGCCTATCATCTCCGGTGGTGGACAGGAGCGTGGCTTGCGCAGTGGCACTCTGGCCCCGCATCTGCTCGTTGGCTTCGGTGAGGCTTGCCGCCTTGCCGCACAAGACATGGAGGTAAGAATTCCCATTCTTTTGAAGTTCCTTCTTTGCCGCGATGATTATACACTGTGAATATACATCGCTTTTGGAGATGTTTGGGTGGTAGCTCCGTGTTTATGCACGGAACTCAGCGTCCATGATGTCAATCGCAGGGGTAATGAGTCAGCTGATGATGAACTTGAATTTATCTTGTCTTTGCATGACAAAACGCTAACGTGTTGATTTACGAATAGTACGACACCAAGCACGTTGAGCGTCTATCGAAGCGTTTGACCGATGGCCTCCTGTCTATGGAACACACCGTGCTGAATGGTGACCCCGACCACCACTACCCCGGCTGTGTGAACGTCTCGTTTGCCTATGTCGAGGGTGAATCCCTTTTGATGGCTCTGAAAGACATCGCTCTGTCTTCCGGCAGTGCCTGTACCTCCGCCTCCCTGGAGCCCAGCTACGTTCTCCGTGCCCTGGGTAGCAGCGACGAGAGCGCCCACAGCAGTATCCGTTTTGGTATTGGCCGATTCACCTCCGATGAGGAGATCGACTACGTTCTCAAGGCCGTCCAGGCTCGTGTTTCATTTTTGCGTGAACTGAGCCCGCTTTGGGAGTTGGTGCAGGAGGGAATTGACCTGAACACTATTGAGTGGAGCCAGCACTGATTTTTTTACTCTGGTCATATTAATCACTTTCGTTTCGAGAAAAATGCCCATTAGGGACGGCGTTGGAAGTGTAACAACATTGGATTTGTACAGATTGAGCATAATCAACTCAGAATTTACTACCTCTACTCTATGTGTAAGCATATCCCGATCAAAGTTGATCAGACTGTTAGGATGTAGTTGGCACCCTGAAACTTACCATAGCCTTCGCCTCTGATGCTCGAGGTTATACCAAGTATATGTGCCGAATAAAGTTTGTCCACTCATCACAGCCCTATGATGACTGCGTATTGGATGCTTTCAAAGACAAATTAACGTAGCTCACTTGATCTTAGCACAAACTCAAAACGTTTACCTGCCGATGCGCCATTTCGACTCAAAATGGCGGGGGGTACATCTGGCTATAAAGGCCCCTTTCACTCACCGCGAAAAAGCATCAGTCAAAGATGTATCAATTGTTGTGGATTGTCCTCCAAGCTGCAACCAGTGCCGCTACTCTGGTAAACCACTCAGCAGAGCTTCGAGTAGTAACCTCCAGCGGCATCGTGAGCGGGATATACAACAACACAGCCCAAACAGTCCGGGGATTTATAGGAATACCATACGCCGAGCCCCCAGTAGGACGCCTGCGCTTTGCACCAGCACAATCCAAACCCCCAGCCAGACATCCGATCGATGCATCGTCCTTCAGCGATCCATGTCCACAGGTTTACACATACTCCAATGAATCAATCTGGAGCATTCTTCCATACAAGATATGGAATCCAGCCAATATGTCCGAAGACTGTCTTTATATTAACATCTGGACGCCTTCTTCCAAACATCAGGGTAAGAGGGCGCGAAACGCGGCAGTGATGATGTTCATCCATGGGGGAGGGTACGGCTCTGGTTCTGGATCGGTGGCTTTTTACGACGGAACAAATTTGGTACAGGACAATGAGGATATCATTTTTGTCACTTTCAAGTAAGTGAGTTGTGTCTGTGTGTATACATGGCTAAGACCAGGGAGTTATCGGCTCAACGTCTTTGGATTTCCTAATGCACCCGGTCTGGATCCTCTGAAGCAGAATCTAGGACTAATGAATCAGGTATGCCATACGCCTCAAAAGCGAATGATACAACTCACCTATTTAGCGACTGGCGGTCGAATGGGTCCATAAGAACATAGCCAACTTTGGCGGTGATCCAAAGAGGATTCTCCTTTTCGGGCAATCTGCTGGGGCATCGTCGGTTGATATCTATTCATATGCTGTGAATACCACCAGTCCCTGGATCTTCTGTATATTGTGGAAACTAACGAGCGCGGGTTTGATAGTATCTAGACAATCAACTTGTCAGCGCATTCGCCCTACACTCCGGCACTGCTCCATCGTTGATAACACGGGCTGACCATAAGAATTGGAACGACTTGTCTACTGCTGTTGGATGTGGTTCGGGAGCGAAGTCTCTTGCGTGCATGAGACGAGTTCCGGCCACAAAGATTGTCGAGGCAAGGACACAGGGGAACTACAAGTACAACTTCTATCCGATCGTAGACAATCGAACTGTGTTCTCGGACTATGCTGCTAGAACTCGAAAGGGGAAAGTAGCACTCCTGGTATGTATACCATAGTAATCTCTTTTTCATTTTTCATAACACTCACAGTTCTTCAATAGCCAACATTAGCTGGGATCAACGAACACGAATTCTCGGCAATAGTCCGTTTGAGTCAAGAATCTGTTAATGAAACAGACATCTGCGAAAATGTCCAAAAAGCCTTCAACTGTCCACTCCAGGAGACTGTGAAGTAAGAAACAAACCATCACATTGTTCGAATCTAATGCCTTCTAGGATGCGACTTGACCGGAATGTGCCCACTTGGAGGTATCTATACCGAGGGAATTTCACAAGTCTCAGTCCAACCACCTGGCTCGGAGCCTACCACACTGGTAATGATCTGAGTCTCATTTCCGCGTAATAGTCGTGTTCTGATGACGATAGCCGAGATACCCATTGTGTTTGGAACTTACAATCTATCCAAAGCTATAGCTCCATCTGCGGGAGAGGCTGAAGCCAGCAGATACATCCAAGGTACTCCCTCTGAAACGTATAGCGACTCGTCAAGGTCTTATGAGTATTTCTTAGGAGCATGGGTTGCATTTGCCAAGAACCCCCAAAATGGACTCAGCAAGTATGGATGGCCACAGTTCAGTTTCGATCGTCAGTCTCTCTAATTTCGCGGAGATCGTCCACGCTGATCAGTTGACAGAACCAACTTTGATCAATCTCGCCCTGGACAACACCACTCAAGTTGTGTTTACATCAGCTGATCCGTGGGATAGTTATTGCAATGAAGTTGGCAAGACTACTGATATCGAGGGAATCCAAGATGGCAAGGGACAGATAGTTCTTGGGTATGATTTATAGACCCATCTATGTGATGACATAACCAGTCTTGTGACCCCAATATTCTGTACACCTGGATGCCTGGCAGATCAGGTGTCGATGTCAAATTCTGCATCCGGCGGGGTGTCCACTGTGGATTGCCTCGTAAGCAGATGAGCAGAGACGATGAGGGAAGCAGGACAAAAACATCCGATCAGATAATCCAAGTAGAGATGTACAGTTAAAATAAGTTACATCAAAGTAAGCTCAAGACCTGACGTTGACCCAACATGACCCCAGACGTCGAGTATGGAGCAGCGTGAGTGATGGCGAATGTGCTAGGGATTAAGCGAGAATGTCCCGAATTCGGCGCAAAGGCCGCATTCCCACCTCCCAGCCGTGTCTTGGGGGCTTCCGGTTCATTGTCTAGCACCCAGTCTACTTCTCGCTAAGAACAGACCCACCGAGGAGCCCTTGCGCGGGCACCCATTGCTGCTTGGCATTTTAGTCTGGGGGCGTTAGTTACATGGGCCCATATAAAATGAACCTGGTCTGTAGTCGACTTACCTGGTCCACCTCCTCTAAAACGGTCCCAGGGGTCTCTAAAGCTCTTTTGCCTTGTTCCTATATCGGCTCACTCCCTTAACTCCGGCTTAGAAATGCCTCTCTTACGCTCCCCCTTATGTCTCCCGGTGAATTACGTGCTTACAGGTCGGACATCCCACCGGAAAACTCTGACGGGCATAGTTACCTAGTTTATGTCCCTTATGGCCACTCTCCGTACGTACTTTGGGGAAAATGAATAACCTTTCTTCCCCGAGTTTGTTCCGTCATCATCCGTACACGTCCTGGGGTACTCTCGCCACCTCTCCGGGTGCCTGACTTGTAACCTTTCTTCTCTCTCTCTCTCTTCTTTACTCACGACATCATTACGTTTTTGAAGATATCGGCATTTGAACGGGATTGAGATCCGGGCGTGCCACTTCTGTACTCGGGCACTTCTGCCTCTTCTTCTGTCTTACAACCACCATGCTACCTCCAGTGCCATCACCTGCTGATTATGGGATCACTCCCGACTTTGGGTTCCTCCCCTCAGAGCCTCCACTGGAGGTCCTTCCGGATCCATACTATGCCAAGTGGGAGGCCATCGTGGGGAACTTGCAAGCTCTCATCCTGAGCAAACGGATCCGGTCCATAGTGGAGCGCCTCCCCATACTTTCTACCGAGCACCTCCAGACAGATGCTGAATGGCGTCGAGCATATGTGGTACTTGTATTCATGCTGCATGGTTTTGTCTGGGGTGGTGATCGTCCCGCAGAGGTACATTAGAGTCCACCCCCCACTGGTCACGCGATGAGCAACACTGACACCAAACAGAGGATTCCACCACAGCTCACAGTGCCATTGTTCAAAGTTTGTGAACGGCTCGAAGTCCCCCCAGTTGCCACTTATGCCGGGGTTTGCCTCTGGAACTATAAGCCGATATTTCCCGACGAGCCGGCCACCGACTTGGACAACCTGGCTTGCCTTCAAACATTCACTGGGTCACTGGATGAACAATGGTTCTACCTCGTCTCTATTGCCATCGAGGCACGGGGAGGTCCTTCTATCCCCTTGATGCTCAAAGCTATTACAGCTGCGCGCGCAGGAAAGAGCCAGATTGTGACCGAATGCCTGCAACAGCTGGCTGAAACCATTGATGAAACCACCGAGTTACTACAACGGATGTACGACAACTGTGACCCATACGTGTTCTACAACCGCATCCGCCCATATCTAGCCGGAAGCAAGAACATGAGTGACGCCGGCTTGCCCGATGGTCTGCTATACGACGACGGCTACAACCCCGAATACCGACAATACGGTGGAGGCAGCAATGCCCAAAGCTCCCTGATCCAATTCTTCGACATCGTCCTCGGCGTGGAACACCGACCCACCGGTACAAGCCGCGACAGCGAAGACAGCGGCAAATCCCGCAACAGCTTTATCCACGAAATGCGCACCTACATGCCCGGCCCACACCGACGCTTCCTCGAGCAAGTCGACTCAGTAGCCAACATCCGCACCTTTGTCGAAGCCCGACGCGGAGACTCAGCCCTCTGCATTGCCTACGACGCCTGCCTAGCCATGCTGCGAGTCCTACGCGACAAGCACATCACCATGGTATCCCGCTACATCATCATCCAATCCCGCTATGCGCGCCAACCCTCACAATCCAGCCCGAGTCGACCGGCCGCAACCAACCTCGCCACCGCCACACCAACCGATAAGAAGAAGCTGCGCGGCACAGGTGGTACTGCCCTCATCCCATTCTTGAAGCAAGCGCGAGATGAAACTGGCGAGCCTGCTATTGACGCATGGGCTCGACGGCTACTCAGCCATGGTCCTGTTGATAAGACGTTTGCTTCACTTAGTAAGGTTGGCGAGCAGCCGGATGGACATCTTGAGGTTGTTGGTCTTTGCGGAACATGGACTGCCGAGGAAAGTGAGGGTGGCATCTGTCACTGGTAAAGTGCATGATTTTCTTTCTGGTTATTGAGCGACGCATTGTATCTGGGTATTTGCGTACATGGGCGCTATGGTGTTTGGGATTGCATTTTATGATTTGTGCTCTTGTACAGAATAGACTTGATTTACGGCTCTTATTGCATTATTCTCCACATAAGCTGTACTGTACATGTACCTTGAGCTTGTCAAATAAGATAGTGCAAGTCTAAATGCTTGTTTTCATGTAGATCTATAGAAGCTGCATAAACAAACCTGGCAGGGCCCTGGAGATGACGCGTGCCTGGGGATGACGCGTGAAGCGTCATCCCACGTGATGTGATGTCATCTACGTCATCGATCATGACTTTGTATACAACTTCATGGAGAATGCCCTGGAACCGTGTGGCGCACAGGGATCTGATAACTATATAAGGGGCTGTGCTTCCATCTCCCATATCTGATCTTCACTTCAAACATCTCTCTACTCTCAACTCTACATCTACAATCTACAATCTACCATCTACAATCTACCATCAACATCCATCATGTCTGACGGCAACTCTTCCACCGGCCAATCCTACCTTGACCAGGCCACCGGCCTCGCCCAGCGTGCCGCTGGTGCCATCACCGGCGACTCCTCCACCCAGGTAAGCAACCACTTCACAACCCAACCCATCACAACAACTAACCCACCCTAGAACAGGGGCGAAACCAAGCAAGAAGTCGGCAAAGCCAAAGAAGACGCCTCGCACACAACCGCCAAGGTTGGCTCCGTCGCGGCCGACCCCAACACCGGCGCTGTAGCCCAAGACAACCCCAAGCGCTCCGACGGCTCCTGGGACCAAACCCTCGGCTCTGCCAAAGAATCCGTCGGCAACCTGATCGGTAACGAGAACTTGCGCAAGGCCGGCGAACAGCAGAATGCCGCGGGCAAGGAACAGGAAGCCAAGGGTCAGCTCAAAGACTGGGGTGAGGGAATCCAGAACCGTGCCCAGGGTGCGCTTGGTGCCGTCGGTGCTGCTGTTACTGGTGACCGTACTGAGGAGGAGAAGTACCGTGACCAACATGATGAGGGCAAGGTCCGTCAGCGTGGTGCTGAGGCTGATATGAATAAGAAGGCTTAAGTGTAACTTGAACATTTTGGTTTGTGTTTTCGGTTCTTGCCTCTATGGCGGTTTTTATTATGACTTTTACGATGGCTTAGCTGTGATATCCAAATTGATTGCCATTTCTACTTGATATTTTGATCAAACATGTAGCTTTTGATTAGATAGAAGAGTAGATATATCGAACTTGAAGCAAGCATAGCCGATGTAGGGACTTGTATGTTGGATTGTTCACAAAATCTGATATTTGTGTAAACATGTCTGAAAAATCATTCTGATGTGTAAAGTCCTAAGAGGAATGATTCTTCTGGCCTGAGAATGTCGAAATCCTTTTTTTCGTGCCAAAATGTTTATAAAATCCGATTTTTCAGACACCGAACTCTTTGAAAAGGCCCCTTTTCAAATCGTAACCTACGAGAAAATAAAACCAGAATGAACATATCTACGAAATAAGTTTCCAATATCAAAAACAACCGCGGGATAAGGGTTTCAAGTGACAAAATGTCCAAATCGGTTTAGTAGACCCCAAACACCACAGAATCTAAAACAATATCCCCAGTCAAACCCCTTCAGGAGAATAGGACTTCCCACATGCCACCATTTCCTCCCGTCCTTAGGTAAATTCCCCTTGAAGAGATCAATCTTCCACCCAGTGATGTTCGGTTCTTCCTCGGTGCTTTGGCTATCTAGGTAGGAATGACCAATTAAATGCCATTTGCCGGAGATACTACGACGTTCTACAATATAGACCAGTGGATGAGGGGGTTGGAGGCAAAAAATGTCCAGACGACCCCAATGTCAAGATGTCCTGTAGTCAATATAATCGCCTCAGATCTGCAGCCGATCTTGAATCTATCACATACATCGGTGCGTTCCGAGCAAGGAATAAAATATCCGAGGTGAACGTGGACTAGCTTCCCCGCTGGCATCTGATCACCATCCCGAGGTTGATCAGTGAGACTACACTAACAGCCTTGGAAGGTCTAGAAGTCTAGAGTCATTATGTCACCTTGGGCATGGCTTGCATGGAGGGGCCGAGTGCTAAGCATTTGATATACTCTGACTTCCCCTAACATTTTACTACTATACTACTCCAGTATACACATCACCATGAAGTTCACGGCAGTCCTCTTTTTCCTAGCCGCATGCAGCGCTGAGCACCATCACCGCCGAGATGGTACAGACTATGGCATCAACCTAGCCTCAATCTCAAGCGCACTGTACATACCCACTCTCGCACCAACAATCGAATCTAACACCATCTAGAGAACATATGACGGCAAATCAAACCGCCAGCGCCAACTTCGCCAACATCTCCTCGCCGCCCAAATCCCTCATCCCAGAGATCCTATCGGTAGTGCCCGTCTCGGTGATCTGGGAATTGGTCAACCCAGCCCAGCGCAGTTCACTAGCCAGCCAATTCAAGGCAGGGAGCACACCAGCCTGGTATAGCAACCTGCCCACCGACGTGAAGAGTTACATGTCCGTGGTGAGATCGCAGATCTCCGGCGGCGCATTGACAGCCACTACGGGTTTAGCGTATGCGACAGCGTCCGCCACTGCGACCGGCGCCACTGAGTCAGGGTCGACTGGATCTGGAACTGGAAGTGCAAGTGGAATGGCATCGACTTCCACTGGTGGCGCTGCACAGGCCACGGGGCTCACCGTATCAGTGATGGGGGCCATGGGCGTGCTTGGGCTGGCACTAGCTCTATGATCTATTTGTTTTTGTTGCTTTTTTTTGTTGCTTTTTGTTCCAATCCCTGTTGATGCGGTGTATCACAGTGGAGAAGAGCTGAGGATCCACATGATTTGCATTTAGTAGACGACTGTGATGAGAAATGTGACCAGAATTGAGTATGCGAAACCAGAAACCAGAAAAGGTGTACTCCAAAATACAGTGGTGTCACTGTATGTGCTCAAGATTGAAATGCCTTGGCGAAACGAACCCTGGACGAAATGAGGCGCAAATGCAGGTCCCTCACATGCTCTGAACTCGCAGTTAATTAAAATTAATATGGGAATCTGCATGACGAGGTGGTATCTCTCTCTACATGCCGGATCTCTGCATGGACCTGTACCTTGGGAGCTTACCTTCGCCGATCGCTACCTAAGAGAACAAGTTCTCCGGACAATTCACGAATCAGACACCGAACAACTCAAAGTAGCCAAGTGAATCCCACCAAATCCCCCCAAAAAAGGAGATCAACAGTCGATCAGCCAAAGAATTTGAGGTCCGGGGTGAAACCATGCGGGGAACTCTCGTATGGGCATTGGCCTCGCTTCGCCTTTCCATTCACTGCACGGTACAGGTGAACTAACTAATTCACATGGTTTAATTGACCTTGCCTCGGCCATCGCACATCACCCGAGACCGTGTCAATGCGGCTTCAACGGCCTCGGGGGTTTTTATCGATTTGGCACTAAGAGCGAGCTAACAACGCTAAGTGCCTTGGTCTAGATCGCGCAATCTTGTTTATAAGATAAGAGGGAATAGGGTATAGCCATACAATCTTGGATTCTCTCTTCTTCATCTATCACAATGCGTTTCTTCCGTCTTCTCCCCCTGGCTTTGGCGCCCCTGGCTCTGGCAGCCCCCGAGCCCCGGCCCAACCCCGTCGCTGCACCAGCACCAGCAACCACCGGTCTGCTAGAGGAACTACCCGACATTCTCAGCGGAGTGCAGGGTCTTCTGACCGCCGATAATCTCAAAAAGCTGGATACAATTCTCGATGGGGCGGCCAAGTTACTCGCCTCCGACAATATCAATGTCCTGCAGGATATCTTGACCAATGCCCACAGCTTGCTCACCAAGAGCTTTGTGGATAACACCACTACCCTGATTGGGGATGCCACGCCGGTATGTACTTCGTATGAAAATCTGATTGCATATAAGTTACTAACACACGCTAGTTGGTGGAGGATGTCTCCAAGCTGCTGGGTGGTGTGTTAGGGTCTCTGTAGGGCAACGAAGGAATGAATCACGAAGTTTAAACTTATTTTTGCATTCAATTGAATATTTCATCTTCAAATATCTTCAATAAAAGTTCGTAATTAATAAAAAAAACAAGCATATATCATAACGATCGGGTATATACAGAACAGAATAACCATCACACCACATTCAACTTCTCCCGCAAGCGATCCTGGTAGAATTTCAAAGGATACGCCCTCCACTTATTCGGCATCGCCGGGTAAACCGCAACAGAGAATCCCATCCACGTGCGATAAATCGCCCGAGTAGCCACCGTCGACCGAAGCCCATACGCATCCCGCAGCTTCGGAGGCAGCATCTCAATGGTCGACACCCGCAAGAAAGGCTTCATACTCTGCACCCAGCGCGGCATCTCAGTACTCTCCCGCAGATCCTTGGCAAACTGCGCCGCATCAGACGAAACCGTCAACTCAGACACCTGGCGATCCCAATACGACCAAAAGGCCTCACGAGTCTCAGGCCAGGTACCAGCCGGCACCCCCAGACAGTTCATCAGCAGCGTAAACTCGCTATACGCGCGCTGGGCACTAGGATAATCGACCCGGCCATAGACACGCTGATAGAAATCCGTCGCAGTAGCATACAACGTAGCAGCCATCCACAACTGCAAAGCCGGCTGCTGTGTAAACCGGTTCGAGCGCCCACCACCGAGAAGAGGCGGGTTGCCATTATGCAACATCTCAATCAGAGTCTTGCGCTCAGCACGCGTGCCAAAGACCAGACAGGAGATGTAACTGATATGCGCCTGCAGGGCATCGATCAGTTCTGTCGCGAGCTCCTTGTGTCCGCCTGAGGTCTCCGCACGGATGCCAGGGAGCGCAGCTTGGAGAAGGAGGGCTGCCCCTGAGCCAGCGAAGAGGATGCCCTCCTGGAGCATCTTGGGTAGGACTTCTAGTTGCTCCAGGGCGTGCAGACGACCGGAGTCGTTGGTGATATGATTGGCGGTGGCGTCGGAGCCGCCATTGGAGATAACTTCATTGTTGAATTCGTTCTTCTCAGGCTTTTCGTCCATGTGGGACACGGGGGATGAAGTTGAAGACATGGTGGAAGTTTGACATGTAACTTACTCCAGGGGCAGTCGGAGAGATGACAATTGTCTTTTTAATAAATGGGACCCCGCAAACTCTGACCCCAGACCCGAGAGAGACCTCAACAAAGACCAAAGAGAAGGCCAAACCGGTGTCGATCGTACTCGGCCCATGTGAATAGTGTCGTCTGTCGGTGGAGAAGCCGCGGTTCGCAGGAGATCGCCATCTCCTGAATGTCGATCGCAACCCTTTTCTGGCGTCATTCGGCCAGAGAAGGGAATCCTCCTCCGACACTAGCCCTTTTCTTTCTTTTTTCTCTCTTTTTCTCTCTTTTATTTGCCCTTTTTTGCCTCGTTTTTCCTGAATGGAGACCGACCCGCTATGGGGTTCTGGAGAGAATGGAGTCGGAAGGTCGGAGCGTTTGATGGCGCAGGCTTGTTTCTCCGCTACTTATACCATGTCTGCCCCTAAGTTGAAGGTCAGTTGAACATCATGTCTGACAGGCCGGCCTACCTCAGCTCTGATGATGCCAAATACTCCCTGGGTATTCATCGGGGTCCATTGTTCTCCAAGAATGTCGACGAAGGCTCCAAACTCGCCCAGGTCGAGTCGGCCGGGGGCCTCTCATTAGCGACGAGAGAGCTGAACAGGAAAGAGAAGTTTGCGCGCCATTGGAAGCGATTCTGGTGTCTGCATCTCTTTGTGACCATTATCTTCCTAGCGATTTTCCTACCAGTCTTGTGAGTCCATGGACCTGAGCACATGCAGTACATGGACTAACCGAATTAGCTTCCTCGTGGCCATTCCCGCCATTTCGCAGATGGTAGTCGACAAGTCCGACCTGGTTCTCGTCAATGCAGCAGTACTGAACCCGCGACCAGATCGCATTCAGCTAACGCTGCAGTCTGCGCTGAACCTGAAGATCGCGCTGCCTGTGCGCATCGACCCAATCACCTTAGATCTGTTCGTGCGCGACGCTGGCCCGGAGAATAAATGGGCAACTGCCAGCCTGGATGGGATGGTGGTAAAGGGGAATACCACGCTGGGTGTCAGTGATGTGTCGACGCCATTGACCAATTTGACCACCTGGGTGGAATATGTGCACAATGTTGTGTTCAAGGAGACGACGCCGTTGTCGATCAGGGGCACGACTAATTCGTATCTGGGCGTGCTCAAGTCTCCTGTGACCATGGACAAGGATGTTGTATCTCCAGGTATGTCAACACCATCCACGCCCTGAAACGAAGCTAATGATCTCCAGTTCTCGACCAATTCAAGGGCTTCAGTATCTCCGACAGCGGTCTCATCCCAGCCCGTGACGATGGCACCAACCTAATTGGCAACGCCACCCTCCCCAACAAATCAGTCCTTACCCTGGACATCGGCACAATTGTACTAGACATCCACAGCGGCGACCTACTAATCGGCAACGCCACGCTGAAAGACGTAACCCTCTACCCGGGCAACAACACCTTCCCCCTAACAGGCGTGCTAGACCTGAGCCTAATAATCCAAAACCTAGGCAAGGTCCTCGCCTCCCAAGCCTCGGCCCTGAAATCAGGCAATCTCGCCCTGGACACGATAACCAGAAGCGTCACGTGGAACGGTACACTGGTACCATACTACACAGACGTGATGAAGCAGTTGACCCTAACGGCCAACGTGGCACTCGCCGACCTGCTCAAGAATACAATCCACAATTTCCTAAACGGAAACTCGAATATCACGAGCCTGATCGGCTCGCTAGGCAGCGGCAGCGGAGGCAGCGGCCTCCTGTCGAACCTGACAGACAGTAAAAGTGCCAGCGATACAGCCAGCGCTGCACTCGCCGAATCCTCATCGCTATCATCAAAGCTGAAGAGGAGTGATGCCGTGCGGGATGTATTCAAAAATGAACATCCCATCAAGCGGGATGCGATTATTGACTCGCTTGCTGGTCTTTATATGAAACACCAGAAATGAGTCATTATCCCCCTGATTTCTGGTTTATGTTTCTCTTTTCCCTTTTCTCTGTTGGTTCTGTTAATAAAGGACTCGTTTCCGTGTACACGATTACGAGTCCGCTGATGCCTAGACGATACTTGATTCCCAGGCTGTGGCCATTGTGAATATTCGATTGATTTGATCGATTTGGTTCTGTTTGGAGTTTGGTGGATATCTCTACTATATTTACACAGTTTACGCTGTCGTGCCCTGTCTTGCGTGATTCGACTTGTTTCAGGTCTTTCATCTATATCTCTAGAGATAAAGATAGAACGTCCTTTTGCCCCTGTCTCATGTCTGCTTATGTGTCGCTGTATGATGTACAGTACATACTTGGGCTACGGTCTAGACCGGTCCGCTGCATATAATACATCAATTACATCCATTCTAGCGTGCTGGTATGTTTGACAAACTCTGGTCTGCTTGGCAAAAGTACATGTACACGGACTTCGCCCGGGTGATTCCACGGGTGTATGCATGTCTAACACCCGAATGGTCCGCTTGGCAACCAGTTAAAAGTCAGAGTTAAGATTATAGAAAGAGACGGCCCAAGAGGCTCTATATCCTACAGTATGTTGGATGCCCAAGGCGTCCTGTTCTTACGTGTATACGAAACTCATGCACCTCGTACTCGTACTGTGCTAATTTAGATTTTAACTTTTTTTATTTCTCTATTAATATTGGATGGTTATTGTATAATCCTGACAGGTCCGAGCTGTCTGTAGGTTCTATGTAGGATATTGGTGCATGGATCCTCAACGCAGCCAGTAGCCACGTCGGATAGCAAGGAAAAAAGGCTGCGCCTCTTGTATAACATCCTTGACATAATGATTTGGTGGCCGGGGCCTCACGCGGAAGATGTCTCGTGCATCGGCCTCTTCGCCAGGGTAAAGGGTTTGAACGGTAGGGATATAGAGTTTAGGATCGAAACTGATAAGAATGAGGGCTTGGTGGTCTGGAGGTAGTCCAGGACAGGGGACAGAATAGATAAGGGAACGCTCATCTGAAATGCCTTTCACGGAGGAAGTGCGTGCGTCTGGACAGAGAAGATGGTGTAGTGCAGGAGGGGCGTTGTCTGGAGGCCACAGATGCACACCACGACACTCGAAGCGTTCTTCAGAGGCTTCAATAGGATGACCATCTTGGTCCATCTGTGTCGGCTGGAATAGTTTATTGCGAGGGCCTTCGATCCCTTCTTCATCAATGGGGGATTTGCGCTTCCGTGATACTGTACGGAGGCGGATTCGGTCTCGAGACCGCACACTGTCGCCAATTGGAGCTGGATCGTTGACGAGATCAATAAAGGTTGATGCACCAAGGTGGTAGTTGCGGTGCTTTGTCCGAACGGCAATGAATTCCTGGCGCTTCTTCTCGTCGGCGTCGCTCTCATACTCAGCGTGATAATCGCGACGTAACCGTTTGGCGGGTCGTTCATCGTAGGGGTGATTATCGTCGAGGTCGTCGTCCATGGAAACCCAGGACGGGGTTTCGACTCTACCCTCTGAAAGAGGCGCCAAAGCCTCTTCAGGCGTGGGTAGTCTTTGTGTATAGTAGGTGCGGTGGTTTTCACTCCCTCCATGTCGCCATTCCCGACGACATTCCAAAATCACCGGTCGTCCGGTCGTTTCATCCGTGCGGATAGAAAGGTCAGTCCACATCTCGTTGATAGGACCTTCCTGGTGCTCACGGCGCCAGAAGCGACCGTTCCATTTGCGGCCAGCTTCGCGAGGGGCATGACAAAACCAGTGATAGAAGGAAGAATGTACCTCGGTGTCGTCTGAAGCAACTTGCGTTGACACCGCGTAGAGGTGTTCCTGATACATCTCAAAACACAATGTTTGTCCCAGGTCACCGTCGACAACTCGATCGAGTGGAAACTCAATATAGAGATGAGTGAGGAAATCCAAACCTGTCACCGACCATACCCCGTCCGAGCCTTCGGCCACTGTAAAAGTGCCAAACCAGATGTAAGATCGGGTATGGCGCACAAAGAGAGGAGCCCCGGCCGGGATGGTCTGCGACAACAGCACGCGTCTGGCCAATCTTTGTTTGGCCCGGCTTTCTGTATTAACCGCCCACAGCGTATCCTCGGTCGCAGTCACGCCAGTCTCCCGAAAAACGAGAATATCATCACTATAAGCGACCAGCGTGATCCGGCTACCGGGACATGAGTTGGCAGGGCTGACACCGAACCGTTCATGGATGTAAGGGAGGTAAATCACGCGTTCGGCAAGCTTGTCCCCATGCACGTCTAACAGACGAATCTCCTCTTGCCAGCGATAACAAAGAATGCCTTGATTGTAAAGAAAGTCGGCCCCATAGCCTAGCACAGCGACAGAGTAGGGATTTGCCGTGGCGACAGCCTCGTGGATATCAAAGCGATGACCGACAGCCTTGCGGTACCCAGACTGGGCCGCCACGGCTGCCCGACCTTCTTTGCTGTAGAGTAACCCATTCTATCATATGGATGTAAGCTTGAGGTCGAGATTTAATGGATGTGCAGCCTACCTCGACGGTCTTGCGGGCGATCTGCTCACTTTGCGTTAGTGCGCGCAGGGCGCGGTTGGAGCGGCTGAGATTGATAAAGTCACGGTCGTCCAGCGACGTGGCGATTTGATAGAAGACATCGAAAGGGAGAGTATCCAGACTCTGAGGCTTCATGGTAAACAAAAACAAAAGAGGAAGGGAAGAATTAAAGGCACATGATTACAAGGAATGGAAGGAAGGGGGCGTTTATGAAGGAGGTGAGGGTGAGGCTCAAAGGTCAGAAACCGAGAAACCCCGCTGGGAAAGAGCCTCAAGATCACGATGAGAGATAAGTTAGGGGGCTAGTTTTGCCCTTGAGGCTCTTGGGGGCTGAGCCCCGAAACATGCGGCTCGGCCTAATATGACTGAGATCGGATTACGCGGGGATATACGATCTCTTTCAAGACTGTTTCAGGGTCTGATCGCCTGCATGATCTGCAGAGTCACGCAATAGTCCTATACTACTCAGTATGACTAGCTCCAGGGCTAAATGTGACTGGTTGAGTCATCAGTAGAAAATACATGTAGAAGAGCCTCAAGTGGCAACGGAGATTCTCCGTTCCGAACCCCGAGCTATTCTTAGGTCAGGTGACGCGTAGTGCCCAGATGGTCACCTGACAGAGAGAAAGTAGCTGCCTGTTGGTACTTCAGGTACGTCCCGTACGTCCGTACATCAGGTACAGTTATACAGCCACAGTAATAGGTACAGTTCTAAGGTACATTTTCTACTCTGATCTACATTGTGTTTACCGCTATAGATCCGTAGAATGTTAAACTGCCCGACCATTGACGTAACTTGGGCATGTATCCTGCAGCCCTACAGGTGGATCCTTTCCAATTAGAATACTGTACTTCGTACTTTATCCTACAATATTGGAGTTGGACAAAGAATTGGTTCGGTGCCGAGTGCCCAGAGACTTACAGTAGCCGGGCGTTGCCCTGAAGTTGTCAAGACCCACCCAGAACGAGTCCTTTTAAACTGTTCTTGCTTTCTACTTCTTCCTCCACATCAATCATCAAACATCAAACAATGTACCATCCACCTCCTGGTCCTTATGGACCTCCTCCTCCTGGACCTCCTCCTCCTGGATGGGGATATCAACAACCCGGGTGGCAACCCCCGCCTCAGCCCTACCCTCAGCCCTACCAACCCCATTATGGCTACCACCCCAGTCAGAGCCATTACCGATCCCAGAGTCAGTCGCAGTATCCAGGTGCTTATGCACCATCGGCTCATCCACCCTATCCTCAATATCCTTCACAATCTCCCCTCCCCTACGGGCAGTCGCAGTCACCGTCGCATCTCCATGCGCCTCAAAATGGTAAGGAGAACCCCGCCAAGCACACAGCGTCGCTCAACAAGTAAACAGGCCGGCCTCGGGCGAACTCGGCCAGCTTGCCGCCTCCACCACCACAGACGGCTCAGCATTTCGGTCACGGCGCACCGTCAAACTACAGTTTCCGGTATTCAGCCTGTACCGGTCGGCGCAAGGCTCTATTAATCGGAATTAACTACGCCGGGCAGCCGAATGCCCTCAAAGGATGCATCAACGATGTCACCAACATGTCTAACTTCCTCGCACAGCGATTTGGGTACAAGCGTGAGGACATGGTGATTCTCACGGACGATCAGCGCAACCAACTGAGCATTCCGACCAAGGCCAACATCCTCCGGGCCATGCAGTGGCTCGTCAAGGACGCCCAGCCCAACGACTCACTCTTTGTGCATTTCTCCGGTCACGGCGGTCGCACGCCCGATCTGGATGGCGACGAAGATGACGGATTTGACGATGTCATCTACCCGCTGGATTACCGCGTGGCCGGTCACATTGTGGACGATGACATGCATGCGATCATGGTGCGTCCGCTGCGGCCCGGAGTGCGATTGACAGCAATCTTCGACTCGTGCCACTCGGGCACAGCATTGGACCTGCCGTACGTCTACTCGACGCAAGGTATTCTCAAAGAGCCCAACCTAGCCAAGGAAGCGGCCCAAGACCTATTCAGCGCCTTCACCTCGTATGGCCAGGGTGATTTCTCCAGCATGGCCTCTACCGCCATCGGCTTCTTCAAGAAAGCGGCCAATGGCGGCTCCGCGCGCGAGCGCACAATCATGACCAAGACATCGCCCGCCGACGTAGTGATGTTCTCAGGGTCCAAGGACACACAGACCTCGTAAGTGGCGTCGCAGACTAAAAATTAATGTTTTAAGAATATGAAGCTAACCCCCGTAGTGCTGACACGTTCCAAGATGGTCAAGCGCGGGGTGCTTTAAGTTGGGCGTTTATCAAATCCCTGCAACAGTGGCCGCACCAGAGTTACCTGCAATTGCTCAACACCATCCGGAATGAACTCGAGGGCAAATACTCGCAGAAGCCGCAGCTGAGCTGCAGTCATCCCCTTGGTAGGTATTCCGTGTGACCCCAGACCCGACCCCAGACCCCAGCTGACGATCGCAGACACCAATCTTCGCTTTGTGATGTAATGAAGTACAACCAGGTACATGAATGAATGCAGCAAATGAATCACGAGCCAGTGCGGAGTACTCCGTAATGTCAGAAGTACAGTACAGTAGTTCGCAAAATGCACCTAACAAAGGGAAAAAAGGAATTCTCCACGACTCATCCACCATTGGCGCTCATGTGTGGCTGTGGCCCGAGGTGGATCCCGCAAAGTTAATGAACTCGTATTGCCATGCTATATGTACAGTACATGAATATGAATATGAGTAGTAACAGAGTAACGTGTACTGCATGCTAGCCAGGTAGCTTATAGAAGATCGAAGAGACATGGCGTGGCTGCCTCAAATGTCTCTCCGATCTATAAAAAGTACACAGAAACATACAGTAGCGCCCCTGAGCGGGAATCGGACCAATCAAATCTCCACTGCGAACAGTTCCCGAGTGGAAACCGTGGATTCACCCGACTTGCCCCTTGGTAAGTTGTGAACAAACCATGGGACAATTAAAGAAAACATAACCTTGGAAAGAAGAAGAACACATAAGAAGGCACGTAAGCGAGAATTTATAGATCGTGGCTTCGTTCGGCCGCGTCATTGGATGATGTTGCAGATCCTGTATGATCTGATAGGAACTCCGCTGTCTCCGCGAGTCCACATGGGAGTATGAGAAGGTAAACGTGCCACTATTAACTGCTCAACTGCTCAACTGTTGATAAAGAGTACAGAGTAAACATTAAACATAATACAGTAAACAGTGTGAAGACTCGAATTAAATTACAGTCATCTAAGTGTTACACGGGACGGAGTAGTTGGACTAAAATATTCGATGTCTCTGATCCACTTTTGGTCTTTTTCGGAATTCATGAGATGCGCTTTTTTCTCCCTCTTTTTTCTCTTTCTAGTCGTTCACAGTCTCACTCCTACAATGTTCTCCTCTACAAACAGCTCTTACTCCTCTAGCATCTCCTCCGGGCCTCACTCCCCATATCAACACCCTCAACCCACTTCATCACTCTCGGTGAACTCGCAGCGCCGCCGGAACCCCATGCCTGCCAAGTACCCCCGGTTTTATGCATCCCCGTTGGACGAGGGCACCGACTCAACCCCTCTACAAGTCTATGGCTATGAACAACGCGAACCATCAATCTACGGCAAGCCACCCAAGCTCCTCCACCGGGTATCGCACGTTCTAGGCGATATCCGCGAGGACTTCACGCTGCAGTTGGACCCCCTTAAGCGCCGCTCGACCGTCTTCTTCGAGACACCAATCTCCCCAGCAAGTCCAGAAGTCCCCATGACCTCCGACGGTCCGCGGTCGCGACCCATGTCTATCATCTCCTACGACGCCATCGCAGCTCCATCCAGACGACTGAGCCAGCGACTGACACGCCGCTTGTCGGTCTTTTCTTCACGGGGCAAGCCTACTGGTCACAATGGAGCTAGCATCTCCTCGCCTAACCTGATCGGTTCCTCGAATCAATATGGCAACCGAAGCCAAATTTCCTTTATTTAAGAGCAAACTAAACTCGATGATGAACTAAAAGCTAAAAGCTCATGTTGCCGATCCCCCAGGACGGAGAACCGGGGGATCGACCATACATACCATGCGCAACCACACGGGAGAATGGTGTTTCGGATATAATATTTCATGTTTCTGGGCGATTTCATTCTCATTTTGCATTTGCATCTTTTACAGCGGACAGCGATGATTTACATTATACACTCCTTACTCGCTGATTGTTGTATCTATTTCTGCGCATACCTCGGTGTTTTGGGAGATGCTTTGAACTTACAGTAATGTTTTGTTTCTGTTCTTTTATTTATTTATATGTTCAATACCGACATATCAGAATGACATATCACTATACTCTTAGCATAGAGAATCTCTAACCGAACGCTAATTGCGCCACCATGCAGTAAACATCGAACTCCCAAGCCAAGCATTACCGGTGGACCAACGTGCGTCAGCCCGCAAACGCCTCCATGTATAAATAAAAATCTTCGATCGCGACCGTCCATTTGTACTTCTACATGAAATACAACCTCGTGGATGCCTCGCAATCAGATTACATGTACATATTACCGCCACGTATGTACGCTAACACTTCTATGGAAACCTAACCTCTAGCGCGATGCAAGGTGCTCGGAAGGTCCTCGGACATCCACTTTGTCATCCCACACGGCTCTTCCTCGGATCTTCAATGGGCTGATCGTAGTGGGGTTTGTCTGAGATGTCTTAGATGGGCTTACTGTATTGTCTCCATTGCATCTCTATCCCGTAGGTATTTTTCGGTTCTGCCTACGAGTGGATGGGAATTGTTTGGTTGGAAACATGGACGAAACATTATTTGTCGGGTTTAGCCCGAACACTTGTGAGGGGCCGCTTTTGGTCATTCGGTTAAGTTAGTAGTTGCAGGAGAACAATGCATGTCCCCGTGAGCTTCCGAGATACACAATTTCGAGTCGGGGCCGAGATCACGTGTATCATAACGTGGAACTTGTGACTATTACAGCCCTAACTGGGGATGTTATGCATATGGAAGCCTTTGTTGAGCCAAGATTGGAATGGCTTTCTGTTTTACATCTGTATTCCAGGAGCAGTCTCTAGGCTGAGAGAATGTCTTCGAGTTGTTTGAAATGGGATATTGACCCACTACCTTCTTACGAAATAAGG